CAGACAATTTGATTTTCTGGATTTTTTTCTTCTCATTTTGTCTCTCATAGTTGAGGTATACCTAGGATGAAAATGACAGGCCTCTCTAATCTTTTAAGTGTGAGAACTTCTGTCGCCCGGGTCTGGTCCGTCGAGACCCTCTGCCTTCACTGCCACCCTTCTGGCAGCGCACCCGACCCCATCGCTGTTTCCCGTAGGTGGTGGGCCCGCGGGACGGAGAAGCGGAGGTGTTGCCCACGTCGCCTTTTCGGGCTGTGCCCGGCCGGGCTCCGTGGCAAGCCCGGCCACCAGACGCTCGCCGACGAGTCCTCCTTCTGGGCCTGGCTCCAGAAGGGGACCCCGGGCTTCCTCCGGGCCGGGTATCCTCACTTCGTGTGTCGTCTTTCATGAGGTCTTTTGAACCAATCTTAGTCTGACCCCTTGCCTGAGACCAATTTGCCATGGGAGACCCTACCAGGAACACAAGGTTCCAGACAACACAGCCCCCAGGTTCATCAGGGCACACAAACCTCTCTACCACGGTAAGGTGCTGGTTCTTCAGAGAGGCTTATCAAGAAATATATCTTACAATATTCTAAGTGTTGGGATTCCTGTCCAGTGATCTGCAGCCTGACTGCTGTGAGAATGTGCATGCAATAAGATTCCCATTCTTGTTATAATCATTGATTTCATTAATTTTTGTATGAGCTTAATTTTTTGTTGAATAATAAAACTAATCTCACAGTAACCACGTTTCATTTCATTCATAAACATTTTTGGAAAACTATTGTTTAGGATAGAAGAACACGTTATTTTGTTGTTGTTGCAGTTTTCCCAGTTATGGAGTTTAATATACGTAATAGTCTCAATGCATGTATAATAATCTTTACAATGATTAACACATCCAAGCAGTAATGATAGAATCCTATAATATACAGTATATATTATTCGGAAATGGTCCTTTCTTCAAACTGAGCACTACGAGTACTTTAATGCTATATATATTTTTTAAATGTATTAACCTGTAAAACGCCATGAGCCTGTTTTTCAGGTTTCAGGCTCGAAAATGACATGCCCAGAACAAATGACTATATCTTCACTTCTAAAAGGGGTAAATTAATAATCTTTTTTCCCAAAGCAATGATACACCTGTGAGTTGGATGTAGAACAGTCAGAATCAAACGGCTCCGTGTTTGTTTACGCCTATACGATCATTTCCTGGTAACGTTGAAGCAATAGCCCCGCCTCTCCTGCTCAGAATTCAGCTGCTGGGCTGTCAGAAGAGGGGGAGGAAAAGAGAGGCTCCGTGTTTTGTCTCGTGTGAACAGACACGTTTCTGGTGCCTGTTGTGTGTGGACGGAAGACTTTTCTGATAACGATTGCGGTCCGTTTGCGTTATCGTCCTCGTGTGGCTCCAGCCTAAGCGTGAAGGCCCAATAGTAGTGTTTACAATTTGGGAGAGACAAACCCCCGGCCTGTCTTTCCCACTGCATTGTAGAGAGCTTGATGCGTGGGCCTTGCCATACAAATGTCATCACAGCTGTCTGTAGCTTGCTCCAATTCTGAGTTGGTGGAGGAAGAGGTAGCATTGAACTAAACAAATTAACTCTGGGTAGAATGTTCATCTTGATTATTGATACACGGCTGCAAAGTGAGTTAGGCAGACTATCCAAATCAGAAATGATTTTATACAGCGTGTTACCATAATGTTTAACTATTGTCTGAATTGAAGGAAAAACATCTATCCCCTATGTAAACATTTTGACAACTGGGATAGATGGAGGGACAGGTGTATCGATCATTGCCTGGTTCAGTGGCATCAAAGCAGATTTCTGCCAATTTATCTTAAACCCAGAAAGCTGACCATATCGATCGACAATAGACAGTATTCTTGGGATACATTGTACAGCATTGCCCAAATACAATAGCACATCAGAATATAACGAAAGATGATGCGTACCATTAATAGAGATTGGGGATAACGTGGGTGACTGACGAATGGTCTGTGCCAGCGGCTCAAGTGATAGCGCAAATAGCAAGGGGCTTAGCGGACAGCCTTGCCTTGATCCTCTCGAGATAGCAAAAGATGGGGAGCATACCTTGCCTGTAAGCACCATAGCTGTTGGGTTTTTATATAGCACCTTGACCATGTCAATAAAAGGGGCGCCAAAGCCCATTGCCCCGAGTACCGACCACAAAAAGGGCCATTCTAGGCGGTTGAAGGCCTTCATCGCATCAAGTGAGAGAACTGCAGCTGGGGAAGGTAGATGTTGGGCCCCATCTATGATGTGTAATAGCCTCCTTACATTGTAAGCGGCTAGCCTGGATTTCATAAAGCCCATCTGATCGCGATGTACTAGATTCGTCATGTGAGACTGAAGGCGCCTAGCCAGCACTTTGGCATAGATCTTTAAATCAGTGTTTAAGAGTGAGAGGGGCCTGTAACTAGTACATGTCAGATCCTTGCCTTTTTTAAGAAGCAAGGATAACAGGGCAGTGTTGACGTCTCTCAAAAATGAACCCTCCTTAATAGAAAATAATATCATCTCTACAAACAAGGGGCCGAGCAAGGGCCAAAAGGTGAGATAGAATTCGGGTGGAATACCATCTGGGCCTGGCGACCTGACCTTACGCATGTCCATTACTGCACAATGTCGTGGTGTGTGATGGGGGCATTCAGATTTTCCGAGTCGCCAACAGAGACTCCATTTGGATATTATTAAAAATCATCGCATGCAGATTGGACAAAGCCCCTCTCCGAACTGTACAGATCCTTGTAGAAAGAAAAAGTGGTGTTTACGCTCTTGGGATCGGTTAGAACAGTGCCATCTATAGATTTAACAATAAAAATATCAGCAACATTTTAATTGGTCCGAAGCCTCAAGGCCAGCAGGTGGCTAGGTCTGGCGGAGTGCAAGTAGTAAGTCTGTCTGGTTCTGTGCATAAGAAATTCTGAACGGCAGCTGAGGGGAGAATTAATTTCTTTTTTGATCAAGTCTTTTTGGAGCGCAATAGAATCGCTGTAATGGTGTTGTAAGTTAGCATCGAGAGCAGCATACTTTAGTTCTAATGCTTCCATTAATGCTGTATTTTTGTACTTTTTATTACCTAGGGTTTGATTGTGGGACTCTCCCCTGTGAGAGAATAATTTCTACATGTGAAAATCAGCTGAAAATAATGACATTAGAAAAGCTGTAAACATCAAATGTTGGCATTTATTAGGATGACAATCCTTTAGAATACTGATACAACAGCCAGATATTGATTTGGAATTGTGTGCATTTGATTTATAAAAAGGTAGAAAGACCAATAGAAAAAGACAGTGCTTCCGTTGACAGCAGTTGATCGCCAGAGTGCGTGAAAGTCATAAGCACAGTTAGTGGAACATGTTCAGAAATGGTGTTTGCAGGAAGTTTTGGCAAGTTGCTAGGAAATTAAAACGTAAACAGCATCTCCATTCATCTTGGTTTGGCATTTCCTATCTTTGAGTCTGTTCACACAAGATATGGTTTTAGCTTTATGGAACAGCTGAAAAGCATTGCAA